AATACCTCAGACCTGTAAGTGTAAAGTTTTCACCTCTGCAGAACATCTGGTTTCTTCTGTGTATAAAGTAAAAACATTACATTCAAAGTGTCGGCGGGTTTAGATCATGAAGACAGAAATGAAACATGAAAAACTGGAAATGCAAAAGCTTTATTTTGAAATGATTGATGTCGAAAGTAAATTTTTCTCTGTGAATAATTTGCAAAAGTAATTTGACCTCACCTCGAACATCTTCCACAACGAGCAGCACATCTGGGTCTAAATTGTACTTTTGTACATTTGACATCATGGTTGAACATCTGTGCTACCCCCCCCCCCCCGTCAGATCTCTGGGTGGCCTCTCTCCTGCTCCGTCTGTTTCTCTGTCCACAGACACCTGCTAATTTTCGGCCGTATGTAGTCGGTGTAAGCGGTGGGGGGGAGGGGAGGGGGGGGACGACAACGACTGGGGTGTCTCTGGAAAGGCCGCTGCAGTAATTAGGAAGTACATTTCCTTTCAGCATGTCCATTCAATCCTTCTTTGTTTTTGTTGTCAGGGGTTTTTCTTTCATGCTTGGCCAAACGACAACAGAATTAAAGTGTGGAGCGATGCTTTCCCTACAACAGCTTTACACCCCACAAAACTCTGTCTTCTTTGTTAGGGGTGGAGGGCTGAGGCGAGAGGGAAGAGCAGATATTAACTGATCTCGTTAACATTCCAAGAGACACTCCTGTCCCTGTCCCCCCCCCCCTTCGCTTCCCCCTCTGCTCCTCGTCCTCACATCGCACAGCAACATGGTTGGCACAGAGAGAGGAGGAGGAGGAAGAGGAGGAGATGAAGCCCATGTGGTGACCACCTCTCAGCTCTGATGATGATCCCCCACGGACCCTAAAGTGGTCCAATAAATAAGAATCCAGATAATTCACTGTCTGGAGTTTGTTTAGGCCTCATTTCTTTTCTCCCTTTATGTCCAACTGCCCTTTCCTTTTTCCTCCCTCTGACCCTCTTCTTGAGTTCTCTCCATCCTCTCCTCCGCTGAAGCCGCCCGGTGCTCACAGGAATCATTAATGTTGACCCTAATTGTGCCAATTCCAGCAGCTCAATAGCTCTAATTACAAGGCTCTTCACTGAGGCACTCAAAAAGCCGCTGAACTGTCATAGCTAACAATTAAAAAATATCTATGGGGACAAAGACTGAGAGAAAACGATTGGGGGTGGGGGTGTGTTGACCGGACGGCTCTTTTCAGCTCTTAAAAGCCCAGTTTCTGTGGACTGAACTGAAGCTGGACACCTGCACTGAACTCAGCCTCTTCCTTCTTTTTAACTGGCCTTCAATGGGCCACACAATTTATCTGAAAGGGAAAAGATGGAGAAAAGAGCGAACTCCGGGGGAGAGAGGACGTGGGAGCCAGGAGCTCATAAGACGGCTACAGTGTGGGAGCAGCTCTTTTATGTGAGGCTCATAACGCATGTTCAGAGAGAAGACGTTTGAAGAAAAAGTGGCAAGAGTGCAAAATAAAAAGATTCTTATGTCAAGTAGAAGTCTTCTCCTGAAAGTTTTATCAGTGAGATTGTGTCAAATATTATCAGGATGTGTTAATTATAGAGGTAAAAATACCCTGAATGCAGAGGATGGTTCCCATGGCGTTGATACAGTGGTATGGATTATAATTGATTAGTGGTAATTTGTATTTGGCTCAATTCAAATGTATAACTCTCATAAAGTTTTGGTTAAATAATATTCTGTGATGGGGCGGGAATGTAAAATGGAATTAAAGGTGAATACAGATTTGTACTTGAGTAAATAGCAACATTCTACTATTGACGTTCACGTGTGGATCTCAGACGACATTTAGTCTAAAAACTTCACTGAATGAAGGAAGTTTCCAGTTGAATTTGAATGTCGGGGCTTCGGGACACTGTGATGACACCACGGGAGCCGTACGGAGGCTTGTTGTGTTTCTGTACATGGTTTTTTTTACGTTTGGAGAATTGGTCATCATTTACTTTGAGTGTTTTGGAATTTGGCTGCAACACAGTTTAACCCCTGAAACTCCAGAAGTGTTCTCTGGACTCAAACACTCCACTCACCCCTCCATCAGCAGAGAGCGGTGAGTGGTTAATGAGGGAGTTTTTATTTTCTGGTGAACTTTCTCTTTAATGTTAATGACTTTTTCACGACAAGTTGTTACTCATTTTGCAGAAAACCTCTTCACGACGGGCTCCTCTTTGTAATCAGTCTTAAAATGAATGAACGGTGATTAAAGGTAGAGAGTCTCTCTCACACTCACACTCACACACACACACTCACACACACACACACACACACACACACTGGCCCCCTGCTGTGCTGGTGACAGCTACTGACTTCCCTCAATAGATGTTTTCTATTGGAGCCCAAGTGCACAGGCTAAATGTCAGGGCAGCAGGATCACTGGGCTGTTATGGAGCATTATATGTGTGTGAATGGAGACGAGAGCCTAAAATGTGACCTCACAACTGCTCGTCCATTGTCCCTGGTGATCATCCACCTCCCTGCAGCTGCGGAGGCTCCAGCTCCTCTCTCCTCTCTGAATCCTCTCCTCACACCCATGTTGGACCAGTGCGGAGTGGGAGTGACCCGGACGCTCAGCCCCGCTGCCATTGGACGGCGGGGAGGTGTCTGTCAGCCGTGCAGCTCCCTCCTCTGCTCTTAAATGAAGATGCAATGGACTCGAGGCGCGGACTCAACCTGTGGAAGCCGCGATGAGCAGCTGATCCTCCCGCAGTGGATAAACCGAGAGCGCGATGGTCACCGCCGCGTCATGATCCCCGTGGCTGCGCACGGCTCAGCGAAACAGTTCCTGGAGAGGTCGAGACAAAGGGACGTGACAGGGAGGAGAAGAGAGTGGAGCCGGTGAGGGAACGAAGTGTGTCCGGACCTGTTGATCATCCGCGTGACGCTGACTCTACCTGCAGATCCCGGGTCACCGCGCACCGACGCGCAATCATGCTCCTGTCGGCGTTCCTCCTCCTCACCTCCTCTCACCTCCTGGCGCCTCTGCTGCTGTGTTACCTGCCTCACGTCTCCGCACAGAAGGCTAGCTCACGGGTGAGTGCATACCTGAGTGTGCTGGATCTGACATGTCTCACTGAAGATACTGTAAAAAGCGTCAGATTTATCACTGAGGTAGAAAAACCGCGTCCAGGTCCGTGCGTCATTCATCAGACTGCACAGATTTATCACTTTGTGAGAATTAACTAGAATTCAGGTATTTCAACTCAAACCCTGGGAGAGAAAGCAGAAGTAGGAACAGTATTTGTGCTTTAGTGCATTAACTATTTAAAACTTACAATTGAGTCCAAACCACGTGTGAAACTAATTGGACACGAATCGAGAAATCAGTAAAGTCAACAATTCTTTCAAATTCAAGGACTCAAAACTTCAAATGCAATTAAATCAATCCGACCAGTTCACGATAACAAATCTAATGAACAGAGTTGACTTACTATTGACTCCCTCTGCTGCAGAAAGTGATGGATGATCAGTGATACTCACAGCACAGCTTGTTCGAGCTGAAATGCTTCGAGGCTTCGCGTTGTTTTTCTTCAGACCACAAAAATGCTCCTCCGGAAAAATGATATTTTGGCTGTTTTGAAATTTTTCGACTTGCTCCAACAAAATTTCATCTGATCTGGTTGAGTCTTCAGAGAGAGAGAGAGAGAGAGAGAGACATGAAACCCACTTGAATTCACACTCTTCACTTTGGTTGCACAGACTGAAGTTATGATCGAAAATATGGATTCCTCCTTTTCATAGTGACCGCTGACCGGAGTCTCCCCTGCATTCCCCTCCTACCACACAGCATCCCTGCTTCACTCCCGTCCTCTTTCCTTTTTCTTTTCAGACCTTTTGTTACTGTCTCCTTATTTTTATCCTCCCTCACACACACACACACACACACACTGCTCTGTTTGTTCCCTCCATTGTTTGACTCTCCTCTCAGCTCCTCGTGGCACTGTCCAGGCAGAGAGGGAGATGAGTGATGTGAATCAGAGGAGAGCAGCATTGTTTCAGTTCGCAGATGTAGTATAATATTTGTGGTTAGCGAGGAGGGGTGGGGGGGGTGAATATGCAATACAGTCTCACATGCTGGAACTATTTCACAATCTCCTTTAGCCCCCCAACCCCCCATCCCTGCAGGAGACTCAGTGCTCAGAACTGGAGAGAGAAACAGAGAATTCATTTCACTTCTTCATCATTTGCTTCTAGATCCGAGCCACTGTGGCTGGTTCAGGTGGGAGATCACCTATAATCACAATAATGCAAATGCTGGGATGTGTTAGGAAATCTGAAGAAAAATGCTGGTGATTTATTGGACCGTCCTTCTTTCTTCCTGTTAAAGGATTTCGTGCTCCTCCTCAGGCTCAGAAACCTCAGTTTTAGAAAACCTCACCGGATGAAACCCCAAATTACAGATTGGTCAGCGACACCTTACAGATAAAAGTTTGTCTCTCTCTCTCCACCACCATCAAATGAAACCCCCTCTGCATCCACTTCACCCTCTTCCTGGAGCGGATCAGACGACGAGCTCGCCCCTCTGCACGCTCACACCACAGTAGATACTTTCAACATTGCTCACAGCTGCGGTAAAAACCAGAATTCACACCCCCTCACCTTCCACGTTGATATCAGGGGTGAAAAGCCTGAGCGGACATCACAGCATAGCACTGCTCCGCTCTCATTTTCCCTGAGGCTCAATGATGCAATAAGTGCGCAAGTCCAACGTTTTTCTCAGAGATGGGGAACACGAGTAATTGGGAGACTGACACAGCTTTAGACAATTCAGACTTTTTGCCGTGTGTTTGTCGGCGTCTATCAAAGTCAGCTCTGGCCTCACTCTGGAGAGTTTGATGGTTTCCATGATTGTTTTCGTAATTTGTTCAGTGGAAGGACAGATATCGGATGATAAGCATGTGGTGCGATGATGGTTAAGGACGTTTTTCTCTCCATAATCTGCCGATGCAAAGATCAAATGACTGAGAAGAAAATACATTTGGTGACCTCACCAAAAAACGTTTTCTTATCTTTCTAATCTTGATGCAACGTTGTGTTTAAAAAAAAAAAAAAAGTCTAAGATGATTAAAGTTCACATCTAATTGCACTTGGTAATGACTGCATCAGGATATCTTTGCATGTTTTCTGGTCCTTAGTAACAAAGAGTTATCCATCTAATGAGGCAGATGGTGGACAGGCCGGGGAAATCTCTTTTCTATTCTATTTTCTCTGATCTGTTTCCTCGGGGGAGCAGCGTTTAGAAACTATAGAGTTTACACATAAGAACAACATCCACGTTTACCCTTAATCCCCCTTCATCAAATCAACCCGCGCACGCCGGGGATGGGATGCGACGAGCCGTCAACCTGCATTCTTCAGAGCCTGCATCAGCGAAGACTCATAAACTTATCGAAAAACAAACATAAACAGCCAGGCCTGAGAAGTGTGGCGGCCAAGACTGCATACCTTCAGCTCTGGGAGAGTGGAGCCCCGGTTCAAAAGCAGGAAAGCCTTTTTATTGTCGTGACGTAGATCACAGCCTGAGCGCAGGTGTGAGACGTGTAAACGTATGGGTGCAGGTGCCCGTGGAGATTGTTAATGATGCTTACAGTGCACAAAGGAATGGAGGTCAGGGACTGGCCTCTTTTACGAGTCGGAGATGAAATTCAAATTATCGAATGCAGATATTGGAGGGAATCAGTCGTACGGTTTGTCAGACTGGTCAACGGTAAATACTGCATCAGGTTTTTCTGTCTCAGCATTTCTCACGTATGACGAGGAGTCACGTCGGAGCGGCAGAGATGTCGGTTTTCCACCCACAGAGGCTGCCGAACATTTTTTATTATTTCTAGACTGATAAAAACATCACTCTCTGTTTTCTTTTACACGCGAAAGAAACTGGAAAAAGCAGAACGCTCCCATCTGTTACATGATTAATGTATGAGAGCGTCAGAGATCATCAACTGATCAGAAGCAGATACAACACACGAGTTTAAATTATTTTAAATTCTGCTTGTATTTGTTAAAATCTTCATCCATGAAATGCTGGATTATGTTTAATCGACAACATTTGTTGTATAGTCTTAATCATTCGTGCATTTTAGTGTTGCTCCTCCACAAAGCTCACTGAAGATCGTTATTTCGTGACAAGAGGAAGTTATTTCAGCAGAAAGGCAGAATAAAAAACATAATATGTATTATTTTAGCCTTTCCAAACAAAGCAGAGTACAGGAACATCACACTTACGTTTGTATAGTTTTTACCTATACTTAATTAAAGAAATAAGAGAAGTTGTCGTTAAGAACTTTTAACCGCTGGATATTATAAAGTTGAGGAGAGAGAACTAGATAGAGAACGTGACTCTGTGTGATGAAGTAACTGGAAGGAAACCTGTTATAAGAAAAAACATTAAGATTAAAATGTGGGGTGATAAATGAGTTTGTCCGTAAACGACTGTAATCACACAGATGTTCAGTGCACATTTCTTCATTTAGACTTTATGGGGAAAAACTTTCTCGGCAAAGTGATAAGGTCATAGTTTGGCATCATCGTCCTCTGTGAAGAGTCATGAAATACAAACCTGTTAGATTAACTTTGTCCGGAATTTTTGCACAACAGCAGTTTTTGATTAGGAAAAAAAAAACCTGACAACACTTGTTGGTGTTGAGCTGATACGACAACATACACATGAACGTTTCTAATGGTTTTAGGACTTTCTCACTTTTTTCATTTGAATAAAAGTCTTTTTTTTATTTTTACTGCTCTGGGGAATATTCAGGGTTAATTTCATGACAATTGAGTATTAATGTTCTGAGGTTTCTCGTGTATTTAGTTGACACAAAGACAGAATAAGGATTTTAAGGTGCTGCTGGAGAAAACTTTGTGTCTTAATGGAGTTTTCTTGTGAGGAGGTTGAACTTCAGGCTACAGAAAAGGTCAGGTGGTCAACAGAACTTTAAAATAAATCCTCTGGAGATTAGGAATTTCCAAAACAACTTCCAAAGGAATCTGGTTATTGCCTCCGCCAAGGAGGTCATGTCTTCATCAGGGTTTGTTTGTTGGTCTGATATTCAGCAGGACTGCACAAAAACTACGGGACATGAAACCACGAAACTGGGTTACAATTTGGTGCAGAACTGATCAGGGGCGGATCCTGGATTTTTGGTTTTACTTTCTTTAACAATGAGCGGTTTTTCAACATCCCCATAGATTTCTCAGAGAGTGACTCATGGATCTCGATGAAACAAATCAGCCGTGTTTGTGGGTGAATTTGGGCCTTGGCAGAGGTACGTGCTCTACTGAGTGACACTGTAGTTGGTTTTTACTCCCACGTTAAATTACATTTAAGCCGAGGATCTGTGTGAAACATCTCAACTACTGATAAATTCATATTTGTGCAACTTCTCTTCATAACTTTGGTTGGTTTGGTTTAGTGTTGTTAGTCTCACATTCACACAATCAAACTGGAAGAAATCAAAAATCATCGTGAGGGTTTATGGCCTTTCTGGGAAACTTTTAGAAATGAACCTGAAGCGGAATAGACGAGGGAAATTGAGAGAAACGGGGAAGAAAACAAATTTGACCCTGAAACTGCTGAATCGAATTAATTTACTTCCAATCAAAAACAGTGACACACATTCTAATGTTTAATAGTGTAATGAAATGAAGTCAGTGGAGTTGGGTTTTTGGATTTCAGCTCGTTGAGATCCACACATGGATCAATGTGGGTTGGCTTCATATGTAATTGTGTAGTCCACTGCAGGACCCTGCTCTATGTACATTCAGTATATTAGTGACATTCAAAGAGGAATATTCCGGTTTAAAGAGTCGTGGCTCTGTAATCCCTCAGATTATTAAGATTAATATGACGGCATTTCCGATCAAACGAGCTCAGCAGATTAGCCTCCGCTCTGCCACATAATCATTTCATTTAAGATGGGCGAGTGTGTGGTCTCAGCTTAAGTATGCAATGGGGGTGTGAAGCACGCACGCACACACACACACACACACACACACACACACACACACACACACACACACACACACACACACAC